CCCCCCCCCAAACCCCCTCAAAGACCCCCTAAACCTCTCGGGAGGTGTCTTAATCCCCTCAGAGACCCCCTAAACCCCCTCAAAAATTGCCCTAAACCCCCTCAGAGCCTTCTCAAACCTGAGAGATTCCCTCTGCAGACCCCAAAAATCACTTCAACCCCCTCAAAAATGCCCTAAACCCCCTCAGAGCCCCCCAGGGATGCCCTAAACCCTCCTGCAGACCCCTTTAATCCCCCCACATCCCCGCCCCCAACCCTGTCAGAGACCCCTCTGCGCCCTCAAAATCACTTTAACACCCCCTAAACTCCCTCGGGGATGTCCTGAACTCCCTCAGACATCCCTAACTCCCCTCTGGAACGTCCTAAACCTTCTCAGAGCCCCTCTAAACCCACTCAGAGCCCCCTCAAATTTACATTTTCCCCCCCAAAATCACCTCAGAGCCCCCCCAGCCCTCTCAGAGATGCCCTAAACCCCTCACATACCACCCAAAACCCCTCAAAGATGCACTAAACCCCTCTAGAATTCACTTTAATTCCCTTAAAACTGCCCCTAAAAGCCTCGAACTGTCCTAAGCTCCCTCAGATCTCCCCTCGGAGCCCCCCGAACCCCCTCACAGCCCTATTAAACCCCCTAAACCCCCTCAGACCCCCCCTAAAACCTCCCACAGCCCCCCAACCCGAGACCCCTTCAGGGCCGCCCTAAACCCCTCTAAATCCCCTCTAAATCCCCTCAGGAACTCCCTAACCCCCTTCAACCCCCCCTAACCCATCCTAGAACGCCCCCAACCCCTCACCCTGGCCATCCTGGACGAGTAGGGATCCTCGAAGAGCGCCCAGAGCCTGGGTCTCCAGCGCCGCCACCAGCTGGCCTGCCGGCCCTCCTCCAGGCACAGCCGCTTGGGCTCGGCGGGCTCGGGCGGCCCGGGCCCCTCGGGGCTCTCGAAGCTGTCCAGGGCCTCCTCGGCGTCGCGGTGCTGCCGGTAATTCATCCAGCAGCAGGCCTCCACGTCCGTCTCGTCGATGCCCCAGAAGGCGAGCTCCTCCTCGAAGAGCGGCCCGCACACGTCGGCCGGGCAGTGCAGCTTGCCGGTGCGGTAGTAGTTGAGCACGTAGGCGAACACGGCGGGGTGGCGGTCGAAGAAGAATTCGCCGGCGCCGGCATCGTAGTCGAAGCGGGCGGCGGCGCCCGGCTCGGCCAGCCCGGCCAGGCGGGTGCCGGGCAGCGTCTGCAGGGTGCTGCGGTAGGTCTCGTGGCGGACGCCGCCGACGTTGATCACCACTTTGTCGCGCTCGGCTTGCCAGCCCATGGCGAGAGTCGCGACAGGAGGAGGGGGCGAGAGTCGCGATAGGAGGAGGGGGCGAGGGGAGGGAGAGGGGACGGCGGGTGCCGCATCCCGGCGCGGCGGGGAGGGCGCGGGGCGCGCAGGCGCGGCGGGGACGCGCCCACAGGCGAGAGTCGCGATAGGAGGAGGGGGCGAGGGGAGGGAGAGGGGACGGCGGGTGCCGCATCCCGGCGCGGCGGGGAGGGCGCGGGGCGCGCAGGCGCGGCGGGGACGCGCCCACACTGAGGGGAGGGCACGCCCACACTGAGGGGAAGCCCCACCTGTGGGGAAACCACGCCCACCGTGAGGGGAGGGCACGCCCACACTGAGGGGAGGGCACGCCCACTCTGAGGGGGAAAAGCCCACCTTTATGGAAACCACGCCCACCGTGAGGGGAGAGCACTCCCACACTGAGGGGAGGGCACGCCCACTCTGAGGGGGAAAAGCCCACCTTTATGGAAACCACGCCCACCGTGAGGGGAGAGCACTCCCACACTGAGGGGAGGGCACGCCCACTCTGAGGGGGAAAAGCCCACCTTTATGGAAACCACGCCCACCGTGAGGGGAGAGCACTCCCACACTGAGGGGAGGGCACGCCCACTCTGAGGGGGAAAAGCCCACCTTTATGGAAACCACGCCCACCGTGAGGGGAGAGCACTCCCACACTGAGGGGAGGGCACGCCCACTCTGAGGGGGAAAAGCCCACCTTTATGGAAACCACGCCCACCGTGAGGGGAGAGCACTCCCACACTGAGGGGAGGGCACGCCCACTCTGAGGGGGAAAAGCCCACCTTTATGGAAACCACGCCCACCGTGAGGGGAGAGCACTCCCACACTGAGGGGAGGGCACGCCCACTCTGAGGGGGAAAAGCCCACCTTTATGGAAACCACGCCCACCGTGAGGGGAGAGCACTCCCACACTGAGGGGAGGGCACGCCCACTCTGAGGGGGAAAAGCCCACCTTTATGGAAACCACGCCCACCGTGAGGGGAGAGCACTCCCACACTGAGGGGAGGGCACGCCCACTCTGAGGGGGAAAAGCCCACCTTTATGGAAACCACGCCCACCGTGAGGGGAGAGCACTCCCACACTGAGGGGAGGGCACGCCCACTCTGAGGGGGAAAAGCCCACCTTTATGGAAACCACGCCCACCGTGAGGGGAGAGCACTCCCACACTGAGGGGAGGGCACGCCCACTCTGAGGGGGAAAAGCCCACCTTTATGGAAACCACGCCCACCGTGAGGGGAGAGCACTCCCACACTGAGGGGAGGGCACGCCCACTCTGAGGGGGAAAAGCCCACCTTTATGGAAACCACGCCCACCGTGAGGGGAGAGCACTCCCACACTGAGGGGAGGGCACGCCCACTCTGAGGGGGAAAAGCCCACCTTTATGGAAACCACGCCCACCGTGAGGGGAGAGCACTCCCACACTGAGGGGAGGGCACGCCCACTCTGAGGGGGAAAAGCCCACCTTTATGGAAACCACGCCCACCGTGAGGGGAGAGCACTCCCACACTGAGGGGAGGGCACGCCCACTCTGAGGGGGAAAAGCCCACCTTTATGGAAACCACGCCCACCGTGAGGGGAGAGCACTCCCACACTGAGGGGAGGGCACGCCCACTCTGAGGGGGAAAAGCCCACCTTTATGGAAACCACGCCCACCGTGAGGGGAGAGCACTCCCACACTGAGGGGAGGGCACGCCCACTCTGAGGGGGAAAAGCCCACCTTTATGGAAACCACGCCCACCGTGAGGGGAGAGCACTCCCACACTGAGGGGAGGGCACGCCCACTCTGAGGGGGAAAAGCCCACCTTTATGGAAACCACGCCCACCGTGAGGGGAGAGCACTCCCACACTGAGGGGAGGGCACGCCCACTCTGAGGGGGAAAAGCCCACCTTTATGGAAACCACGCCCACCGTGAGGGGAGAGCACTCCCACACTGAGGGGAGGGCACGCCCACTCTGAGGGGGAAAAGCCCACCTTTATGGAAACCACGCCCACCGTGAGGGGAGAGCACTCCCACACTGAGGGGAGGGCACGCCCACTCTGAGGGGGAAAAGCCCACCTTTATGGGGGGGGGAATGGGGGGGACCTGGGAGGTGCTGGGTGGGGAGGGGGCGTCACTGTCACTTGGGGTCCCCCCCAGGAAACAGCCAGGAGCAGGAGCCCCCAAACCAGCAGCTTTATTGGAGCCCCCCCAAGGGGACCCGGGTGACATCCAGGGGGTCCCAGTGACCCCTGGGGTGACACCCAGGGGGTCCCAGTGACCCCAGGTGACATCCAGGGGGTCCCCAAGGTCCCCTTGGGTTGGGTGGCCCTAAGGAGGACCCAGCCATCCGGGGGTCCCCAGGGGTCCTTGGTGTCACTTGGGGACACCCTGGTGTCCCCAGGGTGGTCCCAAGGTGTCCCCAGGGTGGTCCCAAGGTGTGGCTGTCACTTGGGGACACCCAAGTGGTCCCAGGGAGGACACGGATGTCCCCAGGGTGGCCCTCAGGGTGTCCCAATCATCCCGAGATGTCCCCAGGGTGTCCCAGGGACGTCACCAGGGTGTCCCCAGGGTGTCCTGGGGGTGTCCCCGGCGTGTCCCCAGGGTGTCCCAATGGTCCCGAGGTGTCCCCGGGGATGTCCCCAGGGTGTCCCCAGGGTGTTCTGGGGATGTCCCCGGAGATGTCCCCAAGGTGTCCCCAGGGTGTCCCCAGGGTGTTCTGGGGATGTCCTCAGGGTGTCCCCAGGTGTCCCCAGGTGTCCCCAGGTGTCCGTGGGTGTCCTGGGGATGTCCCAGGGTGTCCCCGGGGTGTCCCAATGATCCCGAGGGGTCCCCAGGGTGTCCCCAGGGCGTTCCGGGGATGTCCCCAGGTGTCCCAGGGTGTCCCCGGGGCGTCCCAATGATCCCGAGGTGTCCCTGTGGTGTCCCCAGGTGTCCACGGGTGTCCTGGGGACGTCCTCAGGGTGTCCCCAGGTGTCCCCAGGTGTCCCCGGGTGTCCCCGGGTGTCACTTGCTGCGTGCCAGCCCCACGCGGTCGCGGTCGCGGTCGAAGACGGCGTAGTGCACGGCCAGGAAAACGTCCCCAAGGATCCAGAGGGGACCCGCGGGCGGGGGGACATCCAGGGCCATGAAGCCACTGACGCACGTGGGGGACCCCCACTGCGACACCTGGGGACAGGGACACGGCATGTGACAACGGGGACAGGGCTGGGGACAAGGGGATGTGGGGGACACGGGGACAAAGCTGGGGACAAGGGGATGTGAGGGACATGGGGACAAAGCTGGGGACAAGGGGATGTGAGGGACACGGGGACAAAGCTGGGGACAAGGGGATGTGAGGGACACGGGGACAAAGCTGGGGACAAGGGGATGT